GAGAGTCGGTCCAAAATTGCAGCACTAGTCATTTTCATGAACAACCTCGTTTTAATTAAACATTGATTACCTGCTAATTAGTCTAATGATCGTCCCCAGATGAGGGAGACCAGGTACAGAATGTGACAGAGGAGAAAAATGAAGGATCTGAAGCAAATGAAAATTGTATTTGAGATCCCTGAGGGCTCACTGTTTTGTGATTATTTTTGCTTTTATAAATGAGGCCTTCACCATGCATTTCTCTAATTTATGTTTGTCTGATGGCTCCCATATGACTGATGCATAGAAGATTGAGTATGTGCACATTTTCATCAAATTTGGGAAATTTCCTGCCACTGGAAAGCAATAAATAAATTCAAAAAAAGCCTGTGTCTGGCACACATGCAAATTAATCTCCATTGTGATAACAGAGAAATGTGGTAGTTGGGGCAAAGCTACTTCGCAGCCCGTAATAGCTCTGCATCGAACATCCCGCAGCAGAAATCTCGAAACCAGACCTCTGGATTTATCAGGTACATCCTCCATCTCCTCGGCACAATCACGCTTCTTCATCACTCCAGGCGACGGTTTACATCATGGTGTGCACATGGCAATAACAGCGCGAGAGAAGGTGAAAACCCCAGCCGATCCTCATTTCTCATTCGGTCTCGTTCACCTTTACCTATTTATCAGCAAACTGACAACAACGCTTTCAAAGTTGCGTAAATAGCAAGAGAAATTCTGTGGTGTGCGTCCCTATAAGAGCAGCCTAAACCGTGGCTTGCGTCTGCTGTCGTGCGCGGTGTGGGATTCGCTCATAAATAAAATAAATAAATAAGCCGGTGGATGAATAAATAAATGTTTTTGCGAAAGCCCCGTGATGAATAATGAATGTGTCATTCTTCGCTCCATTATTCTTGTTTGCTTTGATACAGGCTTTCTTGTTTCTCAGTCACAAGAATAATTCATCGCATCAAATACCCCTCCAGTGCTGACTGTCAGCATTAATGCACAAGTGTATGGTTTAAATGTTTTATACTGCCTTTGTTCTCCACCATGGTTGATTCATTAGATAACCCACAACTGACAGACCTTAAAGACGCAGTTCAAATGAAAAGCATAAAAAGGAGAACTGCAGACCGACGAATGGTGGCTTGATTACAGCAAACTGAGCTACTGATATTTACAGAGGTGATCTGGAAAGCGATGGGGAAACAGTATAAAATCTTCACCAATATTATAAGGATTGTCCACCAACAAAAAATAAATAAAAATAATTGATGCTGACCACTTTTGTGCATGCAATGAAAAGGGGCCTCAAGCTTTTAAGCTTAAAAACAGATGTAAATGCCTTTCTGCGAGAAAAAGACTAAAATTTAAATTGTTATTCACTGAAAATCTTGACATCTGCCCTATTTCTGCTTAGCACATTCATGGGTTCATAAGCAGTTCATTAAAGAAGTAAAGATATTTGATTAATGAATGGATTATTCTTTTGAATCAGCTCTTTTCAATGAATCAATTAAATTATAAATTCATAATTTAGCACATTAATTCACAAATTAGACAAAGCCAGCTCTCAAGTTCAATCCACTGACTTAAAGATTCAGTCGCAAAGGTTAAAAACTCTCCTAAAGAAAAAGATTATCAGAGAAAAAGGACTTAGACTTCTGACACAAATTTATCATATGGATCTGGAATGCCAAGGGGAAACAACATAAAATCACCAGTTTTCCTAAAAATCTAAATTGTCATCATTTACACACCCTAATGCCATTTCAAATCTGTATGACTTATTTTTTCTATGTTACGCAAAAAGAGACATTTTGATTTAGCATGCTGGTCACTTCCGTGCATGCACTTACCATGAAAGGGGCCTGAAGCTTCTTAGCTTCAAAATGGATGCAAATGCCATAACATAGGCTTCCTATGAGAAAAAGACTGACTTTTAAATTGTTATTCATGAGTTCATAAGTAGTTGAGTTCATAAGTTCATAAGTAGTTATGTTCATCAGTAGCTTATTAGAGAAGCAGTGCTGTCTGAACAAATCATTTGAGTAATTTCTTTTCAATGAATCACTTAAGGTAGTTCAGAATGATTCATTCACATATTAGACAAAACTAATTCTCAAGTTCAGTCCACTAACTAAAAGATTCAGTCACAGTGGTTAAAAACTCTCCTGAAAAGGAAGATCATCAACGAAAAGGAAATAAATTTCTGACACAAAACTATCATATGGCTTCAGAATACTTTAAGGTATTAATATGTGTAACAATGAATATAGGGCATGAAGTATGGTGCTTTTGCATAATTTTCCTCCACTGTTATTGCATGAAAAAAGAGTGAACAGTTTAGTCCTAAAAATTTCTGTACATAGAACAAAAACAACTGACAAAGTTATACATTATTAAGAAGGGTCTCTCCAAACTGAACGCTTCACATAATCACAGTTTGTTACTTGTGAAAATCAGTGGCTATCAATAACCACTAAACTGGATTTAAGAAAATGAATTTATGGTTAATAGGTACAACATTCTAAGTTGAACCGCTGTCACCCACTGACCCATTAGCTGGCATAATGAGACACCAGCTGATATTAGCAAGGAGCTGCATGTCTGATGGTTGGATATATGCAACTCTTGGTTGATGGGAAAAGCTTTTCTCTTCTGAACTAATGCCTTGCCTGGATCAGAGGTGATTATGAGTTCAGTGGTGCGAACAGCAGTATCAAGATGGGCAATGGAAAGATCGATCTCCGTTTTTATGGAGTTAATTCAATATGGACTATTTAAAGCGACGGGGCGGAGGGAGAAATGAGATTGTATTTGCTGGGTATGGATTTTTGCCATGTGAAAGCTTCGGGTGCAAAAGGGGGGATGGTTTACAAGTCTTGACACTGTTTAAAAGATCTTCACACGTAGAAGGGTAATCACTGTAAATTACTTTTCATTGATTAGTCAATATTTTCAAAGATCATGTTGCTCTCATCCTATTTGAAAGTCTTAGCCTATTACTGGCGGAGAAAAGAAACTTGTGCCATGTTCATTTCATAGTCACTTATCCAAGTCCGAGTAGAGCGCACAAGTGCATACGACATTGAAAACACGCGTCTATCTACACACTAGAAACCTCAGAATGATTTTCTAACACACCGGTTTTGTTTAAGAACACACATTTTACAATGGACCTCAAGTGACAATCCAAAATAGAAACAAAAGTACAAATATAAAATATTAGAAAAATATAAAACACAAAATCATACAAATTAAAGTTATACTGAAATCTAAAATTTAAATGTTTCAATTTTAAACAGAAAAGGTACACACAAAAATAAATTCACCCATCATTTACTTGCTCTCATGTCATTTCAAAAGAAACTCTTAACTGTTTTTTGCCCACACAAGTCAATGGGGCCCAAAACAACTTTGTTTTTCAACTTGATTATCACTGTACAGACATTTTTCAAAATATATTTTGTGTTCTGCAGAAGAACAAATAATACCATTTTGGAACAACATAAGGGTGATGACAAATGATGACAATTAATTTTAGGGTGAACTAATTTTACAAATGGACATCAAGCAGCAAGCCAGAACAGAACCAAAAATGTTTCCGATACTAAATACAAAAAAAAAAAAAGTTCTATTTTAACTTTTAATTTGCTTTAAGCGGGGTTTTTTTTTCATTAATTGTCTTCACAAAAATATTTTTTATTTACATAACAAAGTTACGATTTTCTATACAAAAATACAAAATAAGTTTAATTAGTACAATTTTGTACTTTTTATATACATATATACTAAAATCTAAAAAATTTACTGTTTGATTATTACAAAAAAACAGACAAAGTTATTATTAATTTAGGCTAAATGGGAAACTTAAAGCAACAGTAATGAAAATGCAATCATTATTTTTTCACCCTCACCCTTTTAAAGGGGTCATGAACTGCCTTTGTTTTTTATTTTGTACTGTTCTCTGAGGTCCAATTATAATGTTATCAAGATTTTTACATCAATCATAATTTACAAGTAATAAGCTATTTTCTGTCCTGTTTTTAACCCCCCTCATCTGAACGCTCTGTTTGAATAGGCGTGGCAGATTGTAGACTTGGATGTAAACGCCCACTGCTATGATTGGCTAATAGTTCTGTATGTTTGACAGCGTACATTCCTCATAGAGGGACGCTGCTGTGATTTAGGTCAAAAACACATAAATATTCAGTACATATCAAACAATCTGTAATAACAGACAAAGCAATTGTGACCACATAATAAAAACAGTTACTCACACTTGTGTTGTGCCATTATTGTCGAATCCAATATAGTCGGCATAGCATCATCTTTTAGTTTCAATCTTTTTGAAAATTCCGCGCCGAATTGTGCTTGTGTTTGTAAATGAATCCACGTTAAAGTGAAGTGAACAAAGGACCAAGTTCTTACTGATGCGGTCTGGATATTCATTAAAAATAATGTTCATTCACATTAATGTTTTTTCCTAACATTGGGATCAGAAGAAAGGCAATGCAAAGACTGTTTTTCCTCACCCTTGGCATTGCACAGGGTCTTGTTGTCTTCAGAGCCATCTTTATCGTTTGGTTTCTCTCTCGTAAACACTACATGCGCGAATCGGTGGACGGGGCTAAACAGACAGTGATGATGTTCTTCTGTGGGGGCGGCGCTTCTCTACACTATTACATCATAGAGTAGAACATTCCAAAAGTCATTTTGGCTCACTGGCTTCAATATAAGCTGTTTTTAGACTAACGACAAAGTTTTGCATTCTGAAACTTACAGGATGTTTTTACAGTATAATGACTTATAATTAACTCTTATAACTCTTATAACGGCAATATAACTCCGCCATTGCCGGTCCCAAGCCCAGATGCGAAAGGAGGAGGGTTGGGCGTCGGGCTAGCAACCCGTCCCTGTAAAAAAATTAATTTGCTACAGAAACGACGAGAGAGAATGCAATGAATGAAATTGGACGCAGAACCTCGTACCCTAGGTACCTAGATCCCAATATGAAGATGTTTGACCAAACCCATTGTGGAGTCCAGCGCCTGATGACGGATACGACATTTACTGCAAAGAGGATCACCCGAATGGGAACTTGGAACATACGTACACTCCACCAAAGCAGTCGGTTAAATCAGTTACTTAAGGAATTTGAGCAACATCGATTTGATTTGCTTGGTATCAGTGAAGTACGTTGGACAGGCAGTGGTGAAATGACAAGTGATGGAAAGAAGATCTTGTATTACTGTAATGACAAAAAACACATCCGTGGGGTTGGACTGGTTCTCGGGAAACAAGCAATACGTGCCCTGGTTGGGTGGAAACCAGTTTGCGATCGGATCATCACGGCCCGTTTTGCATCTGCCCATGTACGGACAACAGTCATTCAGGTTTACGCACCAACCGAGGAAACAAATGACATTGAAAAGGAGGAGTTCTATGATGTGCTACAGGCCGTGATTGACGAAATACCGAGACATGATCTCAAAATCGTTATTGGAGACATGAATGCCCAGTTCAGCAGCGACCGCCAGGGTTTCAAAGACATCATTGGCCCTTTCACATCATCGAAACGCCTGTCAGATAATGGTGAACGGTTGTTGTCGTATTGCACACTTGTGCCCAAGAAGTGATTGGCCAAAGGAGATGAAGGCGGAAGGAAGAATGGATTCAGGATAGATCATGGGCCCTGATTGACCTAAGGAAAAAGGCCAAAAAGAAGCAGGATCAAGCTCAAGAGGTTGAGGATAAGGAAACGGCATCACGTGCATATGCTGACCTTGACCGGGCTGTGAAACAGACCTGTAGGCGAGATAAGAAAGATTGGTTGGAGAAGAAATGCAAAGAAGCCCAGATGGCCGCAGATCGAAATGATACCCGCACCCTGTACCGAATCATTAAAGACCTATCAGGAGCCTGGAGGAGTTCCTCTGTTCCAATCAAAGACAAGAATGGTAAGTTGCTCCTTACCAGGGAGGAACAGAACGACTGATGGGTTGAATACTTCCGAGAGACATTAAATCAGCCGCTTCCCTTAAACACCTATGACTTTGGTAAGGAGGAAGCGCAGGAGGAGCTAGATGTGGTACAAGGCAATATAACAGCAGAAGAAGTTCAAATTGCCATAAAGTTACAGAAATCAAATAAGGCAGCTGGTTTGGATAAAATTCAGGCAGAATTTCTAAAATATGGTGGTCCCATTGTAGTTGCGAAGCTTACAGATCTCTTTAATGCGTGTTGGCGAATGCAAGCTGTTCCTGAAGACTATAAAAAGGGTACCATCATTAAGCTACCAAAGAAAGGGAAATAAAATGGAATGTACAAATTGGCGTGGCATAACCCTCCTGTCAGTACAAGGAAAAGTGTCTTCCACAGTTCTCCTAAGACGATTGCAGGCAGCCGTTGACAAACGTCTCCGAGAAGAACAGGCTGGCTTCCGGAAAGGATGATCATGTAGCGAGTAAATCTACACTTTACGAAACATAATTGAACAATGCGTAGAGTATAAATGTCCACTTTCCATCAATTTTGTAGAATTCAGGAAAGCCTTTGATAGTGTCCATCGTGAATCTTTATGCCATATTTTACAATTGTATGGTGTGCCAAAGAAATTCATATCTGTCTTCCAATCATTGTATAACAATTCCAGCTGCTGCGTCAAGACAGATACAGGCCACACTGACTTCTTTGCCATTGAGACCGGTGTCAGACAAGGATGTATCTTGTCAACATTTTTATTTATAGTGGCCCTAGATTTTGACATGAGGAAGGCTATGGTAAGACCAAACGCAGGCATTGATTGGGATGGCCAGAACCGCCTCACTGATCTTGATTTTGTGGATGATATAGCTCTGCTCGCTGAAAACAGTTACCATTTACAGGAAATAACGTCAAGCTTGCATGAAGAAGCAGCGAAGGTCGGATTACACATTAGTGCCGAAAAATCCAAAGTCATGCATATGGGCGCTCAAGCTGACATGCCAAGGATTAAAGGCAGGGTATGTGATTTTTCAAAAACACTTTAGAAAACTGATTCGGGCCGAATAGCAAAACAAACTTGTGACCTGTTCATCTGCGTCAATCTCACTTAACATCAAGCTTCGCTTGTATACAACTATCATCCTTCCGATGGCAATTTATGCAGCAGAAACGTGGAAGGCATCAGCTCGTATTTCTCACAAGGTAGAAATCTTCCATCAGCGCTGCCTGCGAAGAATACTACGTATTCTATACTACGATCACATTACCAATGAGGAAGTTCTGCGACGAAGCAATATGCCAAGCCTTAGCATGATTACATACCGCCGCCTATGGCTGGCTGGACACATTATACGGATGGAAAGCAGCCGCATTCCAAAGAAGGCACTCCAGTGGGTTCCACCTGGAGGATGACGATACAGGGGTCGACCACGACTGACCTGGCGCCGAACCTTCATCAATGACCTCAGTTACCTAAACATCACATGGGAAGAAGCCAACAATCTGGCCCTTGATCGCATTCGCTGGAGAGCTCTCGTCGCCCAATACACTTTTTAGTGTGGGTGGAGAAAAAAAAAAAAAAGGACCTCTTATATGTCAAAAGATCAAGGGAATTTTGGTTTCTCAATTCATGACCCCTTTAAATCTAAAATTGAAACAACATAAAATAAAAATTGTCAATGGGGTCCAACGTTGTATTGCAAAGTCAAGTTTCACTGCAAAAACATGAGCACATTTTTCAAGTAAGTCATACATGTTTGTAACAACATGAGGGTAAATAAATGATGACAGAATGTTCATTTTTGGGTGAACTATCCCTTTAAAAGTCAAAACCAGAGCTGTAACCATTTGACAAGCCCTGATCTAACAAACATTATGATATATCTAGAGCTCTCATGTTAGCTACATTACTTGAACGACTTCGAACCGTGTCCCTGGAATGTCATACAGCATGTGACAGATTCAGTGCACAGCAACCTCTCCTCATGCCACGGAGGGTCACATGCTCTCTCTGCCCCATCATAAACAGACAAGATGATTGATAAACACAGCCGAATGCTGCCAGCGGTCTGCTGTGCACAGTGTTCCATTGTCAGAGTCATTTGTATTCATATTATGTAGATTACTACTCTGAAGTCCTTTAAATACAAGAAGAAACCCCTGGAAAATTTCTTAACCTTCCATGTTAGTCTCTGACCCGTATCGATTCAAATCTACTACATAAAAGTAAATATGAATCACTTGGCCAAGCGGTGAACCCTTTTTTGCACCAAGGCGGCGCTTTTGATTTGCGGCTATTTATCTTAATGAGTGCGGTTACTCTGTGAAAGGAACTCATGTGAAGGCTTGCAGTCATAGAGATACAGCGAATCCATCACTGTCAGACAGACGGGATCCTTCCAGCAGACGGACAGTCTTTGAGTGATGTCGGGCCAGTGGGAAGAGGCCAGGAGACCTAGAAGCCCAAAGCTTGTTAACAACAGAGAGCAAGCACTGGCCAGACCTTTCGCCCCATACCGTCTCACTACAGCTCTGGATAAAACGTGTCACACTGGCAGTTGTCATGTGAGCAGATCTGTCTCTTCATCACAGTGATGTCATGCTGTTCCATTAACTAATAGCTTTGCTCTGGATGGCAGGGCTCTCAGAACGAGGTGCCAAGCTCCATGAGACCATTTATGGCATCTTGCCATTGTGATGCAACGTTAACGAACACTATAACGGAGCTCGAACCTTCCCGCACGAGTAGAACTTAAAAACAAAATGTTTTATTCACAGATTTTCAAAGTTGTTGCTTTGAAGTTTTAAAGCAAAGAAAAACTCATTTTTGCAAAAAGTGCCTTGTCTATCAAAACAAGTTTCTACCAACCTCACTTGCTTATTTAAAAAATAGTTTTTTGATTATAATGTCAGATGATAACAGCACAAAACTAATATATTATTCACGGGAATTCATGGCTGGTAGAAATACCAGTGGATTCAAAGTTATCCAGCCACGGAAAGCTGCTGTTTTTCTCTCTGTGGAACTTTTAATAGTTTGAAGAATCCGTGGGCTGAAAAAAAAACAAAGTCAGAAAACAATAAATAATTAAATAAACTGATAAACAAAAAATAAACAACGGCTGTCTGAAATAAGCTACTATGGGGAAGGCCGTTTGATAAATGAGCGGTCTGTGCTTTCCACTTTCAAGTATGTAATATTAGGAAACAGTATTTTTTTTTCTATGAAAAACAAATTGAATTTAGAGAAAGGGTTTTTTAATACCTAATAATATTTGTGAATAATTTAAAAAGATATTTAGGGTAGTTTAACAACATTTAGCAATACTAGGGAAACCTAAGGAATACTTAGGGGAGCAAAGCTCAAAACGCAATTAAAAACAAATTAAAGTTATATTACAGTATTCAATTTCAAAACAGCCTTAAAGAAGACCAAAAAGCAAATGCCTAGCATTTGGTGAACAGAAAAAAGCCATCAACTTTGTTTCACAGCTGTAGAAAAGAGAATCAATCACAGATGCCAGGATCATTTCAACCTGAGCTCTTTTTTCACCCTGAACAAATGTCTCTTGAGTGTACACATGAAGGATGCTTAAAAGTCCAAAGTGAAGCTCATTTATTTGCAGATCAGACATGGAAACAGAATTATAGATGTCTGTTTATATAAACTGACCCTTTTCTGTGTAAAAGAAGTGAAGGATGAACTGATATGGATATCAATAATGTGACAAAAATGTGTTTTGCTGGTTACACTGACAGCCAAGAAAACCAGTCCGTTCATGTAGCCAAGCTGTCTTTTGTGATAACCTTCACAAGCCAGAACAGAATTAAAGGTGCACTGGATTTCTTCCTAACTAAAAAAGTTGTACACTCAAATAAGATGACTGCATTCATTTCAGTGGCCTAAAAAAAGCTATTTTATTCTACATAGACAACCCTCTACATTGCGAGTAAATCACTCGCATATGCGACTAAGGCCCAATCCTAATTCTATTTTATACCCCTTCCCCTACCCTACCCCTCCGCCTAGCCCTTCCCCTTGTCCCTTGAAACAGAGTGTCAAGGGGTAGGGGATGCCAAGATGTCCGTAGAGGGTTGATAGAGCAGATCATTTTCGCCACCATGTTGATATCACATGACCAGCCATATCATATTTGACCAAGTTATTACTACTGTAATAGTACTACTATGCATGTGTCACATTTAAAATGTGGTGGGGACAAACATGATGTCACAAAATGACAAAGGCTTAGCTTAGGAATAATACAAACATCATAATACAATACAAAATCATTTAACATGATTTTCTGATTGTTTTAATACATACAGTAAATAGTCTATGTAATTAGTGATCAGGTCTGTAGTACATTTGCTAATTTCCAGTTCAAATCGGATACATAAACAACATTATGTGGGGCTGCATTTTTTTCTTCAATTTATAAAATATTCTTTTTACATTTAATCAAAATTCTTGCAGAATTCTTAATCGTATGCAGGATTTATTACATCTCATTTCCTGATTTATTAATCACATACATTAACCCTCACTACATTATAAAAACTAGTAAAAGCTAGTAAGCGATTTCTGGTAGCCAATGTTGACATTTGAAATCACCAAAACAAACACGCCCCTACCCCAAAAGGGTCTAGCCCCTATTTTGATAGCTCCGCACGACACATACGTACGCAACCCAGGCAACGATTAGTTCTGTGAAACAAAGCAAAACCAATGTTACACCGTGTCTACACCGGACGCGAGCAGTACGGCGCGACAAAATACTATAGAACTCATAATCAGTGATGCTGTCTACACCATAGATATATATATATATACTCATATCTATGGTCTACACTGGATGCGACGCAGCACGACACGACAAATCCCCGACAGAAAACTGCTGCTGCATTCTATTTATGACGTATTGACACAAATTTCAAATGATTTTCAACGGTCGCTTTGTCGCGTCCAGTGTACAAGACAGACTTTAGCTGTTGCGGCACAGACACGGTGTTACTCA